CAATTTCCCTGATTTCCTAATCGCCTTTCCAGGTGAGAATGGACTTAACCTCCATCACACAGGCCGCTGGTAGATGGCAGGCCCACTAAGCTGGCAGTCCCAGCACAAGTTTCAATGGCTGGTGATCGAACTAAGTCCGCTATACCAACCCAATGTGGAGTTTTCAAAGGAGAAAATAATTAGAAATGGATGCTGTCAAACCACCACCGCAGAAGCCTCCTGAATGGCGAGGCAGAGTGGCTTGTGGTCTTCACTGCTAAGGAGAGCTAGAACAGGTCTAGGTCGAGCCTTCTGGGTCCCCTGGGTGAGAACTGCGTGGTCCGGTTGCTATTGAAGTAGAGTCGCACAGTGAGGTGTCCCCAGAACTCTGGGGCAGTTTTCCAGCTGCCACCTATTGGCACGTGACTTGGGAAATCATTAACCTCTGCGGCTTCATATTGTCATCTTGCAGAGGGAGCAGCAGGTCCTTGAGCACCTCTCTGGTGGGGTCATTATGGGTGTGAGGATGAATAGCCACCTGTCATGAGACCTGACAAGGCCGATGGTTTCTCCATACACGCCAATTTCACTTACTTGGCACAGAGTGGAAGGTGTGGTGTGTGCGTGGTGTGCCCCACTTTCCTGCTGTTGCAACTCTGTTAAAACACAATTATCTTCCACTAGAATCAAATGTATTATCGAGTTTCTGTATTTATAAGTAAGAAATATATTTGATGCCTATATATGTCTATAAACACCTCTCTAGTGCCGTATAAAACACTGATCTTTTACTTGAAATGTGCGCTCTCAGATCACGTCATCTTTGACTCAGCAAAGTCCAGAGTGGTTTCCATGTTGAAGCAGCGTCTCTCCTACTGTTTGTTCTGTGCTTCCAAACTCTGTGGTATATTTGCTTGCCCGTGGCTTATTTTAGTGGCTAAAGAGAACCGCAGTCACTCAATCTGGAATAGGTGTTGAAGGAGTCAAAAGCTGTGTTTGTAAAGCTGTAATTCTGAGGGTTCTGACTACCCAAGACTCTAGTCATAGGGTGGAGGAAAAATACCTTCCAGCAACCACATTGTTTTTTAAGAGAAATTTTGGGTTTTGTAATTGTAACTATGGAGCATAAATAGTTGATAACAATCCGACTCCAAGGAGGTAAAATTCAGACTGATGACATTTTATAAAGCTCACCAGGGAATTAAAACTGCAGAGGTGACAGTGATGAAGATGAGGTTTGTGACTGCCTGGTGGAAACACAGAAGGGGCACCTGGGCTTAGCCACTGAGTCACATCCGCTTTTTGGGCTCAGTTTCCTCACCTGGAAGTGATTGGACCAGGTCTTCTCTAATTTCCATTCCAGTATAAAAATTCTGTGGCCCCACCCTGCTGGGAACACCTGGGCTGGCACCTACTGACAAGTGATTCCTTTTTATAGTCTGTTACTGGGCATCTTTGCTAGATGACATATTTAAAATAGAAAACTACAAAAGGAAACTGGCAATGTTTGGGTCTTCTCTCTAAACATCTACATAAATAATTATTATCTTTTACGTAGAACATAAGCTTCTACTTTGAAATCTCTTTTACATAGAGCATAAGCTTCTACTTTGAAATAATTTTCTGATAAAATGCTTGTTTTGTTGAATCACAAATGCATTCTCCCTCTTTCATAGAACATTAATTGCTAGATAGAAACGGTGACATTGACTCCTGAAGTTGTTGTGGTTGTCATATTCATTTTGTAGACTAGACCACATGTTTAATACCAGACTGGCACAGAAAATTCTGGTCTATTTCCCACAGCCCACCTCCACCTATGACTCATTTCATTATTAGCCTCAGCAAAAACATAACCAGAAGGGAAAAATGCCCGAATATGTAGAACCAGAAATAGAATTCTAAAAGCTCACCATAAATTATTTTGAATTCTAGACAAAGCTGATGCATGGCGGATACCTAGAACATGATTGTTGATGGACTGACTGACTGTTCCCCTCCATTAGTCTACAAAATTAAGAGTAGTGTTTATTTAAAATGTCTTGTGAGATAGTTAAATGGCAGTAACTTGGGAAATTCTATTAGCTGCAAGGAGTTTTGGCCATTAATTCCATTTCACCAGCCATTCCCATACTTGCTGCTGTCAATGCCAAAGCCCCAGACAACACTGAGCACTAGGAACACTGAGGAAGAGGTGGATCACACAGTAAGCTGCATGTTCAGTTGCTAGTACATTTTCTGTTGCATGTTTCCAGATTTCTTTCACAAATGGCCTGGTCTCCCCCAGCATCGGCTGTGTGGCAAATGCCACCAGGTTAGCTCCAGCCGCCACGTGTGCAAAGAGCTTTACATGGTTCTTACAGGAGATCTCGAAGAAGGGCTGGCAGTGTTACGATTTCCACTCTACAGATGAGCTAGCGAAGGCTCTGAAAGCCTAGGTCACCAGCGTCACACACTTAGTAGGCAGCAAAGCCATCATGAGCACCAGGGTGTACAACTTCTAATTTCGTGCTGATCCTCGTGTGATTACCAAAGCGGTGTGCACAGTTTGCTCTTGCAACACTTTGTCATTAGAGCCTGCCACCAAATGCACAGTGGAGGCAGACCATGCCCTCATGGTGTTCAGGGGAGCAGGGACCCTTCTCAGCTGCACGTGTCAGCGTGCTGTGAGACCATGTGGAGAAGCACGTCCGTTTTTGTTTTAATCTCCTTGGGGAAGGTAATTTATGAGTGGAGTGAAGAGATGAATAGATATCTGATTATCAAAGGGTTAAGATGTGATCCTTAAATATGGGATGTAGAAGGCAGAATGCAGGAGCAAATAAATTGGAGGTAATCCTGAAACTTAGCCTGTGGAGAACTGACAGTCGTGCACATAACGAGTTTGTTGGGGCTGAAACATTAAGATGCAGGCCACTGTCATATTCCAAGAAGCAGCAAGGACAGGCTTTGCTCTCCCCGCTTACCACTTGCAATGACTTCCTCCTTTCCAGATTCTGCAGGACGATCTAATGAGTCCTATCAGAGAACTTTAAGAGAAAAATCATAAAAAGAATAAGTCTTGCCTGATTGTGGTTCTTTTCTGAGTCAACATTCAAAATGCTTTGACATGTTGCCTGTGTTTTCTTGTTTACAAATCGTAATTTGTAAGTTTATCTAGTGGTTGGGTCTTCATAGGTACCATGGTACTGGCTGTCAAAAATCACCATCACTATTGTGCAGAGATAACACAGCTTGATTATCCTAAGGATACTTCTCTAATCGCAGCCCATGAATATAACAAAGTGCATAAATTGAGAGGAGAATATAACTTTTACATTTCCAAAGACTCATTAGAATAGGATTGACTTGAATTACTAAAAGCTTGAACCCTAGGCCATGTCAAGGTATACATTTGTGATGAATGTTTCCACAATAGTTCTGATAGCAAGGTATACATTTGAGATTAATGTTTCCACAGTATTTCTGATGCATTTACTAGTTTGGGGTTTTTTGTTTTTGTTTTTGTTTTTTTGTTTATTTGGGTTTTTTTGTTTTTCTTTTTGCTGCTCTTTGGGAATATCTCTATCTTTATAATAAAGAAAACAATTTATAGTAATTATCCAGAAGAGAGACAATATTTGTTTCATATGATTAGTGATGCTCTATGACTAATAAGTGGTGAATTGATTTACTGATGTTTAGAAAGGTGTATCAGATCTTAAATATTTGTTTATTAAACGTGGGATAATAAGGATGTTATTTTCCTATTATTGGCCTGTTGAGCTCCAAATCTGTTTTTCACTAACAAAAGTCTTTTTTTGCATAAAATCTACGAAGATAGCAGCATGAGTCCCAAATCTCAGCTTATTCAACTCATATTTTTCCAGTAGTCAATATACCTCATTTCTTCAAATCGTTAATCAACTTTAAAAAAGATTTTGTGCTCTGGTTTTTTAACCATGGAAACAAAGAACAGATGTGAAAATGCCATGCAGTTAACCAAATCCAGCCTGAGAGGGAGGGTCCATTTGAAAGCCCATTTACTATTATCTTTTTGCAGTATACATGATAGCAGTTACGTAGAATGGTGAATACAGGTACAAATTTCAAATATCCTTTGTGTTCAGCAAAATATGTTTCAGATGAAACATACGTGTTTTATGCAATTTGTCACATGGTCTTTTCTAGAGAGTATTTTCTAGATACCTTTTTGAGATTAAGTATGGCACTTATTCACATATTATTTCTATGAGCTCACTGAAATTTTACTGAGGCTCTGAGATGGACAAACGAAGCAACACTGTGTGTCACATTAAGTCCCGAGCCGTGCACACCACAGCTGTGGCGTCTCCATCCTACTCAGGCACCGCAGTTCACCAGACTGACTTTCTACACTTTTGCTGTGGAATTCCTGTTGCTTTACTGTCTCTCAAAGGTGTCAGCTTCAAAATAACTCTTAATTCAGCCCCAACATGTGCTTGTGACACTGAGCTCCCAATATAAGTGGCATCCCTGCGTGATTCCGCAGAAACCTGAGGCATTCCTCTGTGTTGCCGAAGCATCGCTGTGAGAATAAACAGTTTAAAAGCCATTGCTGTGAACATCTGTTTAAGATTTGGCAACACGTAAAGTTCATGAACTCTTAGAAAGCCTAGTAATTTGGTGGATATAATCAGTACGCATCTGGCTGGGATGTAAATAAATAAAGTCAGTGAAGTCAGTGAGTCATCCTTAAAATTTAGAAATAATACAAAATCAATATTTTAAAATTATATCCACCATATTTACTAATTCGTTTTAAGGAATTAAGGAAATCAGGAGTTCACAGCAAATATTTCAAACGGCCTCTTTTTTTTCAGCACAACCGTTTTCTCTATGTCAACACTCTGAACCCAGCCGCGGTGGGACGTGAGGCTCTATTAAGGGTAAACGGAGCTTGACTTGCAGTTAACTTGTATCCGTGCTGTTCCAATTAAACTTCACGTTCTAGCCGCTTGTTTCTTTTCTTTTCTTTTTTGTCTTTTTTGTCTTCTTTGCAGAAGACCATCAAATGGATTGTCACAATGCTCGGATAATGCAGGACACAGAGCAGGATGACAACAATAACGATGAATATGACAATTATGATGAGCTGGTGGCCAAGTCCTTGCTAAACCTCGGCAAAATTGCTGAGGACGCAGCCTACAGGGCCAGGACTGAGTCGGAAATGAACAGCAATACCTCCAACAGCCTGGAAGATGACAGTGACAAAAATGAAAACTTGGGTCGCAAAAGCGAACTCAGTTTAGACTTAGACAGCGACGTGGTCAGAGAAACAGTGGACTCCCTTAAGCTGCTAGCACAAGGACACGGCGTCGTGCTCTCAGACAACATCAACGACAGAAGCTACACAGACGGCATGTCACAGCAGGACAGTCGGAGCGTGAACTATGTCATGTTGGGGAAGCCCGTGAACAACGGGCTCGTGGAGAAAAGGGTGGAGGAGAGCGACGAGGAGGTGTGCCTGAGCAGCCTGGAGTGTCTGAGGAACCAGTGCTTCGACCTGGCCAGGAAGCTCAGCGAGACCACCCCGCAGGAGCGGAACCCCCAGCAGACCCTGAGCGGGCGCCAGCACACCAGACAGGAGGACGACTTCCCGGGCAGGACACCGGACAGGAACTACTCAGACATGATGAACCTCATGAGGCTGGAAGAGCAGCTGAGTCCCCGGCCCAGAACGTTTTCTAGTTGTGCAAAGGAGGACGGGTGTCACGAGCGAGATGACGACACTACCTCCGTCAACTCGGACAGGTCCGAGGAGGTGTTTGACATGACCAAGGGGAACCTGACTCTTCTCGAGAAAGCCATCGCCTTGGAAACGGAAAGAGCAAAGGCCATGCGGGAGAAGATGGCCATGGAAGCGGGGAGGAGGGACAATATGAGATGCTACGAGGACCAGTCTCCAAGGCAGCTTCCCGGGGAGGACAGGAAGCCCAAGTCCAGCGACAGTCATGTCAAAAAGCCATAGTATGGTAAAGGTAATATTTCTACCTAACGTAAGTTGCCTCATGAAAGCATGGGCTAGAGTGAAAAGTCCTGGTGATAGTCTACAATTAAACTATGAGTTACACTCAAGCGTATCTCTAATGCACGTTTTTAGAGTTGATTTCAGAATTATATTTTGTGATTACGCTTTTGAAGAGCAAATAAAATATTTGTCTGAGAAGAAGACAAAGCAGCTCAATGTCACATTACTAGTGCAGATAACCGATAAAATATTTCAGTGGGAAAGTGCACTCCCTGGGAAGACAGATCAAAGCACTAACACATCATGGGATGGAAAATATTAGGATAAGCCCATGATGTTATAAATGAACCGCAATCTATGTTGAGTGTCAAGAGTTTCTGTAACAATTAGTTAATCAGAGATAAAGCGCATATTTTATAAATAGGATTGAGTATGTGGCATTGTCATTTATAAAATTATCATCAAATGACACTTACTGATAAAATCAGCACCACAGAAAACACCCCTGAGAGAAACTGAGCAGTAACAGAATGACCGATAACATGAGGTTAGGGCAGTGACTGCACGTTCATCGCTCGGGACAGTAAGGCACTGGAAGCCTTTTGCTATGCAAGGCTCAGTGTGGCCTGCAGCTGAGATCAATAGTGATTTATTCAGCATGTCCCTTCCTCCTCACCGACCCCACTCCAGTGTGGAAACTGTTATGGTGCTTTCCTCAAATGCAATTTATTATAAAACACTCAAAACTATCCAATATGATAGTTTTAGCCAAATTTTCTTTTATGGAGGGCACATATTTGTGTGTAACTATAAATTAAACTGTATATACATATATATATATATATACACATATATACTATAAATATATAGTAAGTATGTCATATCTATATATGTGTATATATATATCCAACCTGAATGACTGGCTCCATCTTTGCAATGACAGTGCCCACTGTCAATACCAGGCAGGTTCTAATTCAGGCTCATGCACAGCCTTGGCATTATCAATACCTTGATCACAAGTTACTTTAATAACTAAGAAGCATTTCTAAGAATGAAATTGGTGATTCCTTAAATACTTCTACATTAGTACCAAAGAAAATCATTTTTCATTTTTTATTTTATTCTATTTTTATGAATACTGAGTTTCCTCACTGTGGATCTGACAATGCAGTTTAAGAATTTGGTTTGAAAATCAGTTGCTGTATAAACTTCAAACAACTGCATTTTTTTCCAGAAAAACTGCACTTTTTCTAATGTGACATAGGTGTGTTTTCTCCTCTCAATGTGTGCACATAACTTCTGTGGCAAGTTGCCTTGGCATTATCAATACCTTGATCACAAGTTACTTTAATAACTAAGAAGCATTTCTAAGAATGAAATTGGTGATTCCTTAAATACTTCTACATTAGTAACAAAAAAATCATTTTTCTTTTTTTATTTTATTCTATTTTTATGAATACTGAGTTTCCTCACTGTGGATCTGACAATGCAGTTTAAGAATTTGGTTTGAAAATCAGTTGCTGTATAAACTTCAAACGATTGCATTTTTTTCCAGAAAAAACTGCATTTTTTCTAATGTGACATAGGTGTGTATTCTCCTCTCAATGTGTGCACATAACTTCTGTGGCAAGTTAGGCATTGCTATAACCAAATCCAAATTGGAGACAAACCTTAGCCAGAGGCTCAGGGGCTTCTTTGTCTGGCAGTGCTTGGGCGTGAGAGTTGTTTGAGGTGCACAGGTGAAGACTAGACTGTGGTAAGGTGTAGCATATGACAAAAACGCTGGTTTTATTTAGGGGAAATAGGGTCTTTAGCTCAGCAGAGCTTTGGACATTTTAAAATGATAGTGCTATCATTGTAAACAAGATATGTCAAAAATTATCCATTAGAAAATTTTAGTCAAATTTCTGAGAATCGTACAGGAGCCAAACATTTTTAGGAAGAAGTGATGTCTTCTCATGTGATTGCTCAATTGGACAAATGTACTTTAGGCTTGTGTTTTGGAATTCTGAACAACTGGTTCCAGGATGGAGTTTTGGCACTGAGAAGTGCTGTGATACGGGACAGAAACGTGGAGGCTGACTTGGCTTTGAAATTCTACGTCGCGGTGGCTTCTTTGCTTTCTTGGTGCCTTTAAGCTCAGCGTCTTGATGCAAATTTGGGCTCATTTTGTTTTGTTGTTGTTGTTTTGTTTTGTTGCAAGGAATGAAATTCAGGCTACTTGCTTCCACTCTGCAAACGGGGTAAGGGTGGGAACAAACAGTAGAAATGGAGACATGCTTTCGACCTCAAGGGGGGAAGGGCTGGGCATTCAGACTTTCCCGTGAGTTGGAAGGCATCAATTTCTGTCTCTCCCGGTTTTTACAGATCTTCTTCTGACCAAAGTTCATTTGCATTTTCTATCAGCATTTCTGACATTGTTCCAAGTTTCTTTTGAAGATGTCTATAGTTCCATTCAGAACCAAATACATGAAGCCAAGCAAGGCCAACAAACTAGAGCAGAGAGATCAAGGCTCCCTTTAAAAACAAAAGCAGATAAAAAAGGAATGCTCTAATCGCTCACGAACATCCACAGAGACTGCCAGTAGTCTCTACCTGTAGCTACCTGTTGTTTTATAAAAGATGGGAGAACATTTGTATCAACTCCCGTCCCCACACAACCTAATCAAGCTGGTTTAAATTACCAAAGAGTAACATTTCCAACACCTTGAGCTAATACAAAACAAGCTAATCGTGGAACCCGATCATCTGCTCTGATGGGCGTAAATGGGGAGCGAGCCAAATCCAGCAGACGATTTTCTTTTCTAGAAGTTGTTGCAAGGTTTTTGGTTAAATTGTTGTCACTTTGCTTGCTTGGTTGTGTTGTGTTTGCTTGTACGTTTGCTTTTAAGTGAACTGAGATTGCAGGAAATCGGAAATCCGGGGAGGGTGGTAGTGAAGGCAAACACATAGCCCACCTCCACCGGGACTCATGCATCGAGAGGAGACTATACCCTTGTTGTCTTCCAAAACCTCAAATAGTTTTGAGCCACATGATTTTTGTAAAAATCTGTACTTAATTTCAGAGCACTTTCAAAATCTGTGAAATAATATAATTTGTTAGAAAATCAGAAGTGTTCTGATGAAATAATCACTTAAAGATTTATAATAGCTGCAACTTACTTTTTTTATCCTTTACAACTCATATGCATCTAGTTTAAAACATCTTATCTCCCTATAATTTTAAATAATCAATGATTTTCCTTTGAAAGTGTTACTGTGCATTTACTATTCTATATTCGTATTAATTAGATTATACCAATATTATTATGAAATGTCTCAGAAGACAATAAAATTCTGGGCTTTAGTTCGCATGTGTAAGAGAAGGTCTAATGACGTAATTAGAAAATGAAGCCACAACCACATAGTTTTAGGTTTATTTTCAGAAATTTTTATCAATAAATAATGGTGGGAAAGCAGCTGACAATTGTGTGAAGGATATTTCCCTCAACACCAGCACTGGTTTAGGAAGTTTCAGCACCTAAGAGGCACATTATGTAGAACAAAACGCTTGCTAAAAATAAAAGGGGGTTGCTTTTTATATAAACATAATAGCACTTACATATTACTGGAGTTCTTTGTCTATTTCAAGTTCAAGTGAATGACTTGAGAAGAAAAATTTTAAAACCAAGCTTGTTTTTTTTGATATAAAGTAAATTCCTTTCTTTTTTTTTTTTTTTTCCTTTTTGTCTTTTTTCGTGACCGGCAACGGATCGCAACCCTCAGTGTCATGCCCGTACCGGACTGGGACTGGCAACGGGATCGCAACCCTCGGTGTTGCGCCCGCACCTCGCTCAGCCAGTGAGCGGCCGGTCTGTATGTGGGATCCGAACCCTCGGCGGGAGTGCTGCCACGCTCCCAAGCAGCGCACTGTAGCAGTGCGCCACTGGGCTGGCCCTAAAGTAAATTCTTAATCAAAAATAAAACATATATTTTCTAACAGTCATGATTGGCCTGATTAATGAGATGCCAATATAAAAACAAAAAAGATTAAGTCCCCAAAGATGTAACCAGAGCATTCTCTGGACCAAATTATAATAGTCACTACCTATTGGTGATCTGAGCAACTGGTTTTCAAAAACTGGCTCAAAAACAGTGTATCACACATATATTTACCATTCGGTCCGAGTTTTACCTTAGAAATATTTTCTGGAGATCTTATAGTGCACATCTATGAACTGTGGTAAATTTGGGGTATAGAATTAATTTTAGTAGTGACATCATTACATTTCTGGCACCTACCGTTCAATTTTTGACCAAAAGTCTGCTCCACCCCACCGCTGATGGGCCCTGGAAGAAGCCAGCAGGGCCGTAGATGCTGCCACCCCTCAGTCTTGCATATGCATGCACAGGCACTCTCTGAGCCTCCCCTGGTCCCAAGCAGAGATGAAGAAACCAAAATGAATGGTTACTCCAATGGCTTCTGAAACATTTTTGATTGCCCATCCCCTCCGTCAGGTGGGGATTTCCACCCTTTTGGTCATTTGCTTACAGTGCCTTCTGAGAGTTCAGTTTGTTTTCAAAAAAGTGCTGAATTGGCCTGCTAAGAAACAGTGTTCCTTAAGTTCGAGAGATCAAATTTCGACACCAGCAAAATTTTGCAGTGTATGCTGTATACGATCAGAGCACTCAATAAGAAAGAAATTCAGCTGAAGAGCTTTTGAATGGAAATTCACTCTCTGGTTGAATTTCACAGAAAAACTTTGGAACGGCAATGGAACGGAGTTTTGTTCTCTAAGAAGGTCACTGTCTCATCACTCTTTACGCTGATTTCTTTGAGCAACACGGCTTATCATGTAACACACGGGAAAACAATTAATCAAGAGTTAAGGTGAGGAGCAGGCTTTTCCTTCCTCTGGGATGAAAACTAAAATACTTTATGATTCACAATCACACTGTAAAAAGTGGGAAAAAATCACCCAAAACAAAAAAAAAATGACCCAAACAAAAGTCTGATGTCACCTCCTGTCCCCCTGACACCTGCTTTGTTCTTTCTTTAGCAAAGGTCTCTTCAGATTGNAAAAAAAAAATGACCCAAACAAAAGTCTGATGTCACCTCCTGTCCCCCTGACACCTACTTTGTTCTTTCTTTAGCAAAGGTCTCTTCAGATTGTTGAATAACCACATTTGTCTTCAGTTGGTAAAAATATTCATTCTCTTGACACTTGTTGTCGCTTTTAGATCCCTCGAGAACAGAAAAGAAAGAAAGCAAGTGTCCAACCCCCGGGTGTGATGGAACCGGCCATGTAACTGGGCTTTATCCGCATCACCGCAGTCTGTCCGGATGCCCGCACAAAGATAGGGTCCCTCCAGAAAGTAAGTCCACATCTCATCACTACCCTTGGGAGTGCGAGCACCCATGACTGTCTCTGTCATCCCTCCTACCTGGTGTCATTTCCATCATATGGCTCAGTGCAACTTTACTTAACCAGGCCCCTGCTTATCTCCATGGGCAACTCACCTGGGACCTGTGGGCCTGCCGTGCATCCACGCGATGGAAGCTGCCTCCTCCAGCTCCTGGGTTTTCTGGGTGTCCGTTGCTCCTAGAGCAGCCCCAGCCCCAGGCGGGCAGCACACCACGAAGACTGTCCATCCCCCTCACAGGCTGCTGGACGGGCCTGGGTGCTGGTCCCGACTGCAGTTCCAGCCTGCTCTGTGACCTCAGGAAGGTCACTGCTCTCCTTCCCTTCTCCCACATTATAGAATTGAATTCCGTAGTCCCTAAGAAATCCCTGCTAGCACTGAACTGCTGGGAATCCCTGAGGAAAGGCCTCGAGACATCTCATGCCCAAACATCTGGACTTCAGATATCATCTGAGTCAATATCCAGATTGGAGGTTTTGTTGCATTTTGATTTAGAGTCTGTTTCACATCAAAGTTGTCCCAACACTGGTACGCTATAGGATCTTAAATAAGGAGATTTAAATCAGGTGGGTTTTGATCGTATTCTTTTTGATTAAAGCTCTGATAACATGGACTAAATCTAGGAAAACAACTAAATTTCTTTTAGAACTGAAATTATACACAACTTTTTTTTAAAACTCTCAGCACAAGAAGTATGCCAACTATTTAAATACAATTAGAATCTGTTTTCCAGGAAAAGGACACATTTTCCAAAATGAGCATAGGAGTTTAAGATCTTGATTTTGAGTCTAAGGCACGTAAAGGATGTCCCTCATCTGAGACATAGTTTCCAGCGAGGAAAGTGTGACAGCTTGGCTTGAGATATGACAAGTTTGACCAGTTGATTATTTAAAGGAAATTTTGAGGATTGTCTCATTAAAATGGATAACTTTGAAATACTTGAGAAGCAAATCTGTCAGAACAAAGAAAAGTTCTTAGTGGTATCTGAGGCTTAGAAAATAGGTTTAGCTGAACATTTTCAGGTGCAACATTTTTAGAAGCTATTGTGGCTCCAGGATTTCAAATACCTACTGAAAATAATAAACCCATGTTTCTTGTAACTGTCTTACAAATTCGTGAAAATAAACACATTTGAGAGTGTGGCTACAATCCCGTGTGTTACATGAGCAGGGAGACAGCATGGTTTAACAGCAGCAGCTTCCATGTCCTGAGCACACCCCTCTGTCAGGAGCTCAGCTCGCACCAGCAAACGCTGGTTCATTCAATACCCAGTAAACCTGCAGGGCAGTGTCGGCCCTGTTTGTCAGATGAGGAAAATGAGAATCTGAGACTTCACTATTCTCTTTGCAGGGATTAGCACAGTACCTGACAAACTGAGAACGCTTGTCATCTCGTAAACTAATGTGAACAGGTGCTACCTTGAGAAATAACTGAGCTAATATGTAAACCCCTCGTCTGTCTGACTCCCAAGTCTTCTGTTTCCTCTGAGACCTGGCTGTGATATTTCAGTTTCAGTCCTAATATGCCACGTGACATCTGGCATGTTGCACAGTCTCGGTTCTTCATCTTCCTCATCTACAAAATGAGGCATCAAGACCAAGCTGTAGTGTTTGAAGAAGAAATAAGTTTCTTTATGCAATTTTTCTTTAAGCATACATTTTGGCCTTCCAGGTAGAATATCAATTCTTTTTAATAGTTGAGAAAATCTCTTGACTCCATATTTTCACCGGAAATATGGGAAAGTCTAAATATAGTTGGATTATGGACTGTGTTCTGACAAGGTGCATATGACAAACTTGCACCTGCCATGGGGCAGGTCATTCCTGGTGTCACCTTAGCCTGGGAGGAAGTGGAAACTCAGTCTTACCAACGCATTCCAGAGCATCCACAGAAAAGTGTTCTAAGTATTTGTTCATCTACGATGCTTTATAATACTACAGAAATGTAAAAAAAATAAATAAATGAATAAAGGATTCCATAGTGGGCTTTTTTCCTGGGCTAGCTTCCCCTAATCATCATTTTTGTCCAGTTGAATTTAATGCAGGACTCTGAGGCACACTGTTAGGACCACAGAGAACTCACCATAGAATGAGGCACAGTTCTGGTTCTCAGAGAGCTCCCCACTGGCTGTGGAGGGGCACGGGCACTCCATGACAGCACCTGGACAGCACGCTCCAGATGCAGGGGTGGGACACTAGAGAGAAGGGCCCCCAGGACCCCAAGGCTTCCTTGGGGTGATCATGCCATGGCTGTCCTGTATGAGAGAGAAGGGGTCCACAGCATCTTCCAAAGGTCGTTGCAAAAGTCCATGCATGAGATCAGGGCATGAAGAGGACAGGGGCAGTGGGAGTGGAAACACTGGAACGGATTCAGGAAACACCCCAGAGACAGGATCTAGACACAAAGACCACCATGTGGCAGGACTGAAGGAAGGGAGATAGACATGATGCCAAGCGGTCAGCCTCAGTGAGTGTTAGCGTGGTGACACTGGTAATAGGCGCAGGAGATTGATCAGTAGGGCCACACTGAATAGGGGTCATGACTTGTGTCTCCCCCACTTAAACTGGAAATGCTGCAAGGTACTCCTGGCAGACTCTCAGCAGGTCAGGTCTGGGGGTCTGTAAGAGGTCGGATGCCAAGGTTGCTCTCTGAACACTGTCCTTTGAGCAGCATTCCTAGGAACTGAGAGAGAAATTGACCAGGGAAAAGGCAAGAAGGAAAGAAGAATCAAAAATGGGAAGTTTGGCCATGAGTGTGTAGAAAGTGGGGCAGGAGAAGAGACGCGAGCAGAGGGGGAGACAGAGGCAAATGGAGAAAACTGGGGGAGGACAGTGTGTCTGGAAAAGCCCCACGATGGAGGCGATGCCTGAGGTCCCAAAGGAGTCCAAGAGGAAGGATGACAGAGGTCATTGGATTCGTTGACTAAAAGTCCACGGTTGACGCCTGAGAGGACGTGAGGCCCTTGTGAGCAGCAGAGGCAGCACAGGCTGCAGGAGTTTGAGAAAACTTTTGCGGCTGATCACACTGAGGCAGGGCGTAGACAAGGGATGGCAAAGGGACCCCACGTCTAGTGTGAGTCCCCCCGGACAGTGCTGGGAGCCAGTGTCTCCACTTAGCAGGAGGCGGAGCACAGTGAACTGGATGTCTACACCACAGGCGAGCCTGAGAGGTGTTTGCCATCTCCAGGGAAGAGTTTCTGTTTAAAAAGTTGAGCATAAAGGACAAGAGAGCCGCACATTAGTGTAAGAGGGAAGCTGTGTCACGGGAAGTGTTTGTGTGCTGTGATGACAGGGTGATGGGAAAGTCGTAGAGGATGAGGAATGGACCGTGCAGGTGAATCGGGGTCCCAGAGGAAAGGGAAAGGTGGGAAGGGTGCGGACTGAATAGCTCACTTGGAAAGGGGAGGGACGCGTCCTCCTCCGAGACAGAGAGCAGAGACAGGGGCATCTAGATGTCTCTGGGAAGGAGACCTCATGAGCCCACTGCAGCCGGCTCCCCAGCACAAAGCAAGCTTCGACCACATCTAAGGGCGCAGCAGGCTCTGAGAGCCGTAAAGATAAAACCTAACAAGCTCTTTAATTAGGGAACCGACCAGGAGTAAGGTGATAAGACGTAGACTCAAGCACAGCCACATCATGTGGACATAGGATGCCGTACAACATGGCCTGTGGATTTCAGAGGGAAGAGTGGCCATCGTAGACAAGGAGGGAAAGGACAGAAAGTATAGTTACACGGCTAGTTTGGGCAGACTTTGTTTAGAAAGGATGCTGCATGCTCACCTGGCCTGAGGTGAACCTTGCTGGCGTTTGCAGACCGCCAGCTCAGAGGAGCGGAGCCTCGTGCTGAAGGGCCAGTGTGGGG